TGACCTTCTCTGCAATACTACAGTCTAGCCAGTCATTCCTCAGTCTGTATTTGTGCATGCAATTATTCCGTCCAAAGTGCAGGACTTTGTACTTGTCCTTGTTGAATCTCATCTGATTGACTGCAGACCATTTCTCCAGTCTATCCAGGTCATTCTGGATCCTGGCCTTATCCTCCAGACTGTCTGCAGTTCCACCCAGCCTGGTGTCATCTGCAAATCTGCTAAACATGTAATCAATCCTATCATCCAAGTCATTAATAAAATTATTAAACAATCCCAGACCCAGGACAGACCCCGGTAAACCTCCCCCCAAATAGACACAGAGCCACGATGACTCTTGAATGCAATGATCCAAATAGTTATTATCCACATTACAGTAATTTTGTCTATCTTGTTACTGAGAATATGGTGGGAGACAGTGTCAAAATCCTTGACAAACTGAATTATTGAGAAAACATACTTTACAGTAAAAACAAAAAAAAACCTCAAGGGGTTTAATTCTATTTAAAATATCAGAGAGAAGACTGAGGAGCAGCTTGGAGAACAATGATAGAAGCTCTTCAGTATAGCAAACAAAGATATGGCAAACTCCAAAGGCTGGAAGGTGTAGCACTTAGAGGTTAACTATAAATGTTCAAAAAACTCTAGGCAGATTCACACCAACTTTTGCAGCTTTTTCTAAGTGCCCTAGATTAGTTTGGGAGTGAACAGAACTTGCATTGGCTCTTTGCAGAGAGGGCATGGAGGTGGCCTGCACTGGGGAGGTTGGGAGCACTTGAGCGCATTTCCTAGCAAGCCACGGGAAAATGATGAGCCCAGCCAAGGAACTGGCCAGCCCTGATTGGCCAGCGCAACCCCAGCCCTGTCCCCTTCCAGTTGTTGGCTGTCAGCAGTGACTGGGGGAAAAGGGTGGAAAATGGAGCCCCTTGCTGTACAGGTCACCCCAGCTATGCTGGCACGGGTCTGGGTGGGTGGGGGCCAGGGCCAGGTGGCTGTCTGCAAGGCCAGAAACTGAG